AATAATTAATTATTTTTTTAAAATTTTTTATTTTTAAAAAAATAAAATAAAAAAAATGCAAGCATTTTAATCTATTTTCTTATATAGGATAAAATTATAAAAATAATATAAAATTTTATGATTTTTTTTTTTTAAATATCTTAAATAATTTAAAAATATAACTTATGTATTTTTTTTAAATTAAAAAAAAAATATTTTTAAACTAAAAAAATATACATATTAATATATAAGAAAATTAAAAAAAAAAACATGGAAATTAAAAACATTAATAATTATGATGGACTAAATTAAATATTTTCATATTAAACTATTATAAATGAATAAATAAATATATATAATATATTTATAAAAAAACAAAATATTATATGTAATAATAAAATCAAATTCAAATATTAACAATAATTTATTTAATAAAATATAATGGTAAAATAAATAAATTATAATTGTTTTATATATACTCATATTAAAAAATAATAAATTATATATGCAAAATAAAAAATATATTCTTATATAATATTTGCAATATAACAATAAAAATAGAAAACAAATAAGTAAAAGTAAAATATATTTTTATATATAATAAAAATTAATGATTAAAATATTTAAAAGAAATATATATATACATTATATATATATATATATTAAAATTATATATAATATGAAATTATTTTATATATTATTACTTTTTTAAATTATTTTAATTTTTTTTTTTTAATATAATTTATATTATATTTTTTCAAAATATTTTTTATTTATTTATTTAATTTTTTTAAAATACTCAATAAAAATTAAAATGATATAAAAATTGTATAATGGTTTTTTTATATTTGATTAATTTTATTAAAACGAAAAATAAAATATAACTTGAAAAAAAAAAAATCAATCTAAAAAGTAATATTTAAACGGTTAAAATAATAAGATTGGAGAATATTTAAATGAAATATTAATATTTAATTTAAAAAAGGTTTTTAAAAAAACTTTTACTAAGAGTTATAAATAATAAGAATATAAAATAATATATCTATAGTTATTAAATGATTTATATGAATAAAAAAAAAATATAAAATAAAATAAATATAAATTAAAAAAAAAAGTATTAATAAAATGCAATTATTTATATTGGATAATAATTATGATAGAGGAAGCAGAATTATCAAAATTAATAAATCTTTTAAATTAAAATGAAAAATCATTATAATTAAAAAGAAAATAAAAGAAATAAAGTAGTTTTATAACAATAAATATCTATAAATTTTCACTAATAAAAAATAAGAAAGTTTAATTTTTTTAAATTGTTAAATTCAAAAAAAACTCGAAAATTCAAACAAAAAAATTAAATAGATAAAAGAAGAAAAAAAAAAAAAGGAATATTTATAAAATTAATATCTAAATATATATGTACTTAATTAGTTATCCTGTATAAAAAATTAATTTATAGAAAATGAAATGATTTAAATAATATATATTAGAATCGACTAATTAATATTACAATAACTATAGCTTCAATAAAGTTATAATAATAAAGAGAGAGAACAAAAAAAAAACGATAAGAATCGATTAATTAATATTACAATAACTTTAGCTTAAGTAAAGTTATAGTAATAAAGAGAGAGAGAGAAAGAGAGAGAGAAAACAAAAAAAAACGATAATACTAATAAATAAGAAAAATAATAATAAAAATAAACTTAACAAATAGATTTTTTCTTTTAGAATATAATTACTTTTAAAATACATTTTAGGTTAAAAAAATTAATTAAATTAGATTTAATAAACATAACTTTATAAAATTTACAAAAAAAGAAATAAGTCTAATGACAATAAAGTTAGAAAAACAATTATATTAACATAAATACCATAAATAAAAAAATATATTTAAACTGTATATATTATTTAAAATATGTTTTTATCTTTTTTTTTAAAAAAAAAATAAATAAAAAAAAATAATATAAAATAATAAAAAGTATTCATTATTATTTAAATATTCCTTTTTATTAACCTTTATAATTATAATAAATATATAAATTAAAAATTAAATTTACAAACGTTTTATTTTTTTAATTAAGTGCCATTTATGTTTTTAAATTCGTCTTTTTATTTTTATTAAGAAGCTCTATATAAGCTATCTTATTTTTAAAGGGTTAATTTATTATTATTATTATAACTAGGACTATTAAATTAACTATAATAATTATTTTTTTCTTTTGTTTTATTTTATTGAACAGATTATCTTTTCTCAATTATATTTTATTATTAATAAACAGGTAATTGTGTTTTTTAAGCATCGTTTTGAATATTATCAATTTTAAGATCTTCTTTTTATTCTTGTTATTTGATATTTTCATTATTTTTATATTTTAACTTTTATTTAAAATAAATAAATATTAAATTAAATATATATAAAAAAAAAAAATTAATTATTTTAGAAATATTTAATAATTATATATATAATACTATTATACTTAACTCAATTTTGTCCAATCAAATATATTATCTAACTTACATTCCAATTTAAACAATAAATTTCGAAAAAGTCCTTTAATCCAATTATAATCTGGCCTTTCTTCGAACTTAAGATTTCTACAATACTTCAAATAGTTGCAAAATTCATCTATTTGTATAATTAATGAAAATATACTGGATATATTTAAATATTTATATATATTAATATTTCTTTATATCTAAATTCATATATTAATTTACCTGGAAATCCTTAACAAAGTTCTTCGGCCGAAGTTTATATTTTGATTTCTCCAATTTTATCATATTTTTCTTTCTTTGTTTGTGCTCTAACTCCTTACCATGGTAAACTTCCTTTTAAAAAATACATAAGCACATGTCCTATTGATTCCAAATCATCTCTTCTGCTTTATTCTTAATAATAATTAGATTTTTTTTATAAATTTTTTCTTTATTAATAAAAATTTACCAATCCCAGTATGCGTATTAATAGAAGAATACCTTACAGTTCCAGTTAAAGGTTTACCTTCTTTATACTCTATATGTTATCCAGTTTTCATATCCCTATATTTTTTAGATAATCCATAATCAATAATATATACTGTATCTGCTTTTTTATTAACTCCAATTAAAAAATTATCAGGTTTAATATCTCTATGTATGAAATTTTTGGCATGAAAATATTCAATTCTTGATATCATTTATTCAGCAACTAGTAAAGTAGTTTTTAAGCTAAATTTTTTCCCACAATAATTAAATAAATCATCTAAAGAAGGGCCTAATAAATCTATAACCATTACATTATAATCTCCATCTTTTCCAAACCAATTAATATTTGGTATTCCAACTTATTAAATTTTATTTTATTTATTTCTTTTATTTACCTCCTCCTTGTAGTATTTTATATATTTTACTCTCATATTCTAATTAAGGAAATTTTGATTTTATTGATTCTAATTTTATGGCTATTTCTTCGTTTGTTTGTATATTTGTTCCTATTTTTATTCGAATTTATAAAAATACATATATATGTTTTTACCATGGTATATTTCACCGAATGATCCACTTCCTATTTTTTTTCCTATTCTAAACTTTCCACCTACTTTTATTTCCATTGTTTATTTTGATATATTTTAACTTATATTTTATTTTATTTTGGATTTATTTTTTAATTTAAATGTTATTTTCTATATTTAATAAATTTTCTTTGTTTTATAAATTTTTTTCTTTACTTTTTTTATAATAAAGAATTAATATATAAAAAAAATATTAGGTTATAAATATATATATATATATATATATATATATATATATATTATATAATTTTTATATTAATTAAAATATAAAGACTTTTCTAATTTTAAAATTATTATCAATAAAGTTTTAGGTTTTAATATATTATTTTTTGAAATTTAAAAATATAAATAATATCTATGTTTAAAACAAAAAAATATAATTATTAAAAATATAATAATATAACATTAAAATATAATAAATTTAATTATAAAAAAACATCAAAAAAAGTAACTTAAAAAATAAAAACCACAATAAAGTAAATGGAAGATATACATAATCTAAAAATAAATAATTTATGTACGTTAAATACAGAAATAAGTGAAACACCAGAATCTAAAAATATTTAATTAGAATTTAAAGAAGAATTCATATCCACTTATAAATTAAAAGATATAATAATAGAAGCAGTACAACCATACATACAAAAATACAATAACTAGAAAAAATATAGTATTAAAAAGAGAATGAATTAATAACTTTACATTATGCAATAAGATAAATGGACGAAACAATAAAAAAGCTGGAATAAATGAAATTAAATCCGTTAAAAGCAGTAGTAAAAAAGTAAACTCCTAAAGTAGAATAAGGAATAAATCAAATTCAAAATAAAGTATATATATTTATTTTTTATTATTTTAATATATATTTATAATTTAATATTAAAAGTTTAACTCTTCATTATAAAATAATAATAAATAAATTAATAATAATAATTAAAATTCTATTTAGACTTCGTCATTATTTTTATAATAATCTTAGTAATAATTTTAAAAAAAACCCGGAGTTCCTTCATTCTCTAAAAATAAGACACATGAAAATTTGAGTAATTTTAAAATTTTTCTTTTTATTATTATAAAAAATCAACTTTATTAAAGAAAGTGGACTATCTTTACATAAAGAAGATAAAAATTTAAAAACATTAGAAAAAAAATCGCAAAAATTAAATATTGATGATAATATATAATTGACAGAATCTATATAAGAACATAATTAATAAAATCCATTAAAATTATTAGAAGATTTACATAAAAACAATATAAATACAAATAGAAATTCAGAAATGTCTAATTAAAGTCATGAAAATGTGAAATTAAAAATAGAAAATTTAAATAAAAATAATGAAAATAACAAAAAAATCGAAAAATTAAATTCTGATAATGAAACAACAAATCATTAAAATATAAATAAAATAGAACACGTTTAAAATCAATTAAATGATGATTCATTATTAATATGATAAGAAAATATTTATATCTATTTATATACTTATATATATATATATTTAAATTATCATTTTTTCTTTTTTAGACTAGTTAATGATTATACAACTCCTTATAATTTTTTAATATTATCATTTCTAGTATTTAAAGTTTTAGATTTTACATTATGAGGTATTGGTTTAAGTTTATTATTTAAGTTTTTCGATTCAGAATTAGTATTAGAAGTCGAATTAATTCGATTTATAATATTACTTGAATACTTTTGAATTTTAGATTTAAAAACGAATTATTTTTAATCGTTTTTAATTTCTTCACCTTCTTCTGCTTCGTCTATTGACTGTAAACTTTCATATTGGCTTTTTAAATTAGATTATTCGCTTTTTTCTGAAACTGAACATTATGTCTTTTTCTTATTTGGACTATAATCAATTGAGTTTTTCTTAGAATGCTATTATGAATCTAATGATAAAAACGATCCTATATTATTTTAATTATTTTATGCCTATATTTATTTAGTTTTTCCATTTATTAATGCTACTTTCATTTTAAAAGACTTAGAATCTATAATTTCTTAATTTTTTTTTCTTTTTATGTTTAATTTTTTTTTTTTTTTTTTTTATATTTTTTACTTTTCTTATTTATGTAATTATTTAATAACCTCAACATTTCCTTTAAACGGAATTATATTTTTTTGAATTTCACATTTTAAAAAATTTGAAAAAAATGAACTTTGAAGCGCATTTTTTGCCGAAATTCTTTTCTTCGGATCAATTTCAAGAAGCTCCTTTAATAATAAAAAGACTTCCTAAGGAAGATCTTTTTAATCATTTTCTAAATTTATTTTACATAATTTATTTTCTTTTAACACTTCTGCATGGGTAGTTCCTCCAAAAAGTGGCTTATGGACGCATCTTTTAAAATGAAATAATTATATATATATAATATATATATATATATATATATATATTTATATATATATATATTTTATAATATATTTATATAATAAATAAATACAATCTATAAAAAATACATCCAACAGAAAAAACATCACAAACATTTTAATAATGCGATATTTTACTTTCATCTAAATTCGCAATCTCAGGGGCTACATAACCCGGTGTTCCACATTTTAAATAGATATATTTTTCACAATCAGCTTTAGTAGCTAATCCGAAATCTCCAATAACTAGATCTAATTATTCTTTATTTCTCATGAGAATATTCTCAGGTTTAATATCTCTATGCATGACATTTTTACTATGAAGCTCAGCTATTCCTTCTAGAATTTATTAAATTAAACTTCCTATTTCTTACCAACTCATATTGGGTTTTTTCTTAATTAAATCTTACAATTATCCTCCTTCAACTAATTCCATGACAATTTTAATGGAAGAATCAGTATCAAAGACTTCTATTAATTTCATAATGTTTTTATGATTAAAAATTCTCATTAATTCGAGTTCGTTTTGAATTTCTTATTTGCCATCTATTGACAAATAAATATAAGATTTACTTAAATTTTTTATTGCAAAATGCTTTTTATTCCTTTTATTTTATGCAATTGTTACATTAGCATATGACCCGCTCCCTATAACTCTTTTAACATCATAATATTTATAAAAGTTATTCTAAATTAGTTATTTAGATAGTATTTCTTGCCATTTTAAATATTGACTTTTATCCTTTAATTTAAACTAACTGAAAATATTATTATTTATAAACTACAAACCTATCATATAGTCTTCGATTTTATTCTGTTCGTTTTCATTAAATGAGTTATCTATGATTATCTCAAAAATCAATTCAAACGAAAAATTTAATAATGCCTTCACTTATTTATTCTCTAGTAAATATAATTTTCCTTTATATAAATTTAACTCGCAGTCTTCGAATTAATCATTTTCGTTTATTCTTTTTTGAAATTAAGATTATAATATTGGTTTTTATTCAATTGGTAATGTCATATGGTGTTCAGGAGTACTTTGTATCCAAAAGTATTCAATTGTTTATTGTATTTTTGTAGCCATTTTTTTTTTAAAAAAAAAAAAAAATTTGAGTTTTTTATATTTTAGAAAAAAAAAAAATTTATATTTTAATAAATAATATATTTAAAAAAAAAA